AACTGTCATACAGCTTGATGTGTTGTTCCAGTTTAACTACAGTGGAGCGTCTGGTTATCAGAGTTGATTTTAAAAGCAGTAAACTACGCCACTTAAGGTGATCCGTGATAGTGGATTCTAATTAGTCACTTTATTTGTTGCATTCGTATTAATATATGAAATCTAATGATATACATTGCCAGTTACTCCAAGTTTAGAATGCAGATGTCAACGGCAAACCATTAAACTAAAGTATGGTCATTTACAGATAATAAAAAGAACATGGATTACTTGTGAGCCATAATTGCCTAAGCCCTGAAGGGACATGATATTAAAAAAAAAATGCTTGTAAAAGCGTCTTTCGAGGACATCTGCTGATGGGAAGCATTTAAGCTGAGAAACTAATATTAAACAAAAACATTTGAAAGGATGATGTTGCATTAATTATCTGTCTCAATTATTCGGTATTTAGTATCACAATAGAGTAAGATAAGTTTAGTAAATATCAATTACTGAACTTCCTTAATCACGACTAATTAATTTCGCTTCTTTTTAATTAATATCTATAACTCGAAAGTAACTGATTAACTGCCAATACAGTTAAACAAAAATAAATCATATCGATGAAATAAGAGTAGTTCGTAGGTGTAACAGATATTTATTGTGACTACGACCTGGGCAGACAAAGCAGTTGTGGTTTTCCCAGATATTAACTCACCCAAACGTTTCATCATCGAAATTGTAACATAGCAGAGGCGATAAATTTTTAAAATATCGATTATCCAAACTTCTTATATATTCCCAAAAAAATGTGAGATAATTTCGCAGAGCAATAATTTTGGCAATTATTGTTGAAATAACCTCAAATTTTCATAGAATGTATAAAAACAGATCAAAATTTTATATTTACTGTTTTATTTTTGTTATCTCAATGAGAATTTGCCAGAGCGGGTGTGGTAGATTATTTTTAGAATTTTTTTTCTGAGGAAATGCCCGCCGCGGTCACCGGATCTGTCCCCTTGTGATTTCTTTTTATGGGGATATGTGAAGGGACTGGTCTATGTCTCCCCTCTTCCTGCTAGGATTGAGGAACTCAAGCATAGAATCACTTCCACACTGGTTAATGTTACGTGTTTGGCAAGAGCTTAACTACCGACTTGACAGGTGTCGTGTCACAGGTGGTGCACATATTGAACACCTATGAAATCGGTTCCATAATAAACTTATGATGTTCAACACTTAAAATTTTCAATTTCATTGGACCAGACTTAGTAATTTTCAAGATAATTGCTTTTAAAACGATGTCAAGTTTTTTTTTGGGGGGGTACCCTATATAATTTTCTGTAATAATTCAAATGTATGTCATTTGTATGCAAACAACGAGGAATTTAACAATAATTAATTTAACTTATTTTCATCAGCGTTTTTATCAAAAGTTGAGTATAGTTTTCTAAATTCTCAAAACACTTGTCAGGAAATATTAGAATGGGTTTTACGTTCGGATAATTGAAATCCATAAAAGTGTGGTAAGGATCACCGAAACGAAAAAATAATTAATATTATGGAACACATAAATAGGAAAGAAGGCTTAAAGAATTTAACACCCAGACGGGTGACCGCTTGGGAATATAAGGTACTTTAAGTTTGGATGTGCGGGTCATATAATGGATAACGGCTCGGAATTGTAAATCGGAGAGTCGAGTTCCAATTCCAATTGGGTTCGTTGTATTTACCTACGCACAAATACCTTTGGGAAAGCCCCAACTATGGGTTCAATAGTAAGACGTATATCAATAAACCATTATTATCTCCAAAAATAAATTCTTAGAATCTAAAAATATTTTCTGGCTTTTGATAACCTGCAAAGGGTTGTTAAAACGTAGAAAATGAATGAATCAATAATTAAAAAATGTGATCTCACGCTATAGTAACACCCATATATATATATATATATATATATATATATATATATATATATATATATATATAGCAAGGTTAGAAGTACTATATATACACATGCATATATATAAAGGTTAGAACATATATGTCTGACCCTTACCTCCTCTTTCCTCAATAATAAGTATTATAAAAGAAATATAAAAATAAATTTTAAAACTCTCCCTTCCCTCTCTAAACTCGACCATGTCTCTCATACCATCCCTCTATGTCAACTTATCTAAGCATAATACTGCCCGTCAAAAGTGTAAATTTTAATTTCATTTTTCGTTTCACCATTTGAATGTGAAGAATGAGGATCCAGAGAAGGATAAAATTTTCTGGTGAAATAAATTATTACAATGGAGCCTTAAAGTGGTCTGTTTTTTTTTTTTTTTTTTAAATTAAATATATATATATATATATATATATATATATATATATATATATATATACTTAAAGGCTAGGACTACTATAAATTCGAATATATTTACAGATATTGTATTAATATTTAGATTGCAAACCATTAACTATTAAATCTCCTCATTTGCAGCATAGTACCGTTATTGCTGTATTGAAACTATACAATTTTTAAAGTTTAAATGCGTTTACTTTGTAAGTATTTTAAAATGATTTTAAGCATCAGTCTGCGCTTTTTCTCTCTCTCTCTCTCTCTATCTCTCTCTCTCTCTCTCTCTCTCTATATATATATATATATATATATATATATATATATATATATATATATGGGATGTATCAAAATACTTTTACAAACTTTGAGGGCGGGTTCCTCGTTGCAGAAGAAGGACAAAAGTTCATATAAACATATGACCGCAAATCCTTCGTTTTGAGTTTAAAGGAAGTTTATGGTAGATCGCGCCGTGTTACCATACACTAAGTTACGTTTGTCATTCGTGTACATTTGTTGCTAGCCTGTTTTCAACGACTAACAGATGTAAAATTGAGTTAACTGACAATTGCAAGGGTATTCATATCGTTAGCAGCTAGATATAATTTTGGACATATGGCCGCGCGGATGGTAATGGACGTGAGGCTGCACGGCTGTATCAGGTTGTGTTTCAAGTTCGAAAGCAGTCGAGTCATCGAACCTTTGCTGCTGTTTGTCGTCACGTTGCTGAGACTGGATCGGTGGCACCAAAAACTAGAGATCCTGGAAGACCGAGATTCGCTCGTACGCCTAACCACGAAGAACACATTCTACCTAGCCTTTTGGACATATGTTTAAATGGACATTTTACTTTGTTTTCGTATCCTGAACCCGCTACTAAAGTTCGTAAACGTATTTTGATATACGCTGTATATATATTTTGACGGATCTTTCAAGCAACTGATGAACATTCATGAACGTTCTCAAATTTAAAAGCCTTGATAAACCAATGACATCCTCGCTTTTGTATATAAACACATTCAACAAAATAAAATCCTGCATTGTCTTGATAAAGTCCCTCACAGGACGAAACGTGTCGGTTAAAAATAGGTTTTCCTCTTGTTCCTATTTTCTTCATCTTGTTCCTCTACAGATATATTCTATCTGAAAATCATATATATATATATATATATATATATATATATATATATATATGTGTGTGTGTGTGTGTGTGTGTGTGTGTGTGTGTGTGTAATGTGCTATCTGGCTAGTATACCTCTGGGTGAGATTTACGTAATAACGGGGTGAGTAGCTTTACACATAGCAGCTATAATCCAAGGAAGACTTTGTTTCCGACAGTGTTCGCGCGCTAACGAGTTTCATCTACCCGGATTTGAGAATCTAGATTTTCCTTCTATATATCTATATACAGCGAAATGTTAGCAATCCATCTATCCCTCAAAACCTAGAGATATATTAGTATACGGAGCATAAATTTGCCGATACTTGTATAGAAATTATTGTAAAGATTTTGCCAACCTCTAGACAAGAGATGTAGTTCTACAGAATGATGCTGAGAATATCACAGACAGAATATGTGAGCAACAAGGAAATGAAAACAAAAAAGAAAGAAGTAGTTAGAATGAGAAAGAGTGTTAAAATTTGTGGGAAGCAAAATGCGGAAACCTGCTTTAGAGAATTTGGCACTTAGAGTATTTATTACAAGAAAGAGAAGTAGGGGAAGACGGAAGAAATCGACCTGACGTGTTTGTGCGAAGAAATGACAGAAATGTTTAATAATAGTATACACTACCGTTCAAAAGTTTGAAGCCACTCCTAGAATTAGCATGAGATTGATTTGACAGAAGAGTGAAAATAAAATGAAAAAAGAAACTCTTAGAGTCATTGAAAAAAAAAAGAAGAATGCAATCAATTATCAAACGTATACTTTGAGAAAATTTGCAACGAATGCCAAAAATTTGTGTTGCCGTAATCAAGACTAAAGGAGGATATGCGTTTTTTTCTATTTGTCATAATAAAATTTCTAATAAACATTCATATCTCACTTTTTTTTATCTATGCATAAAAAATGTCTCTTATTTAAAGTACAGAACAACTATTTTTGGACTAGTTTAAAAAATAACCAGTGGTTTCCTTAAACTTTTGAACTTTAGTGTATATTCTTAATATGTTCATTTTTATTCATATCAAATCGGAGGAAAAATAAATTGTATAAATCGTTCAGGCGAGGAAGAAAATCAGCAGTCGAAATTATAAGCGTTTTAACGCCGTCTTCGCTTATTTGTGTAGATTAGGCTTTCTTTAAGAAATTCTTTAGTGTTTAAAGGATGTATTATCCGTTTTTTAAGGCTTTCGGCGCTATGAATATATTCTAATCTGTTTATTATATGACAATCTTGAGATAGTAAACAGGATGTGTTCGGAAGATGCCGCAAAATATTCCAATCTAATGATTTAATCTTCTTTTGAATTTCCTTTACCGAAATATGAGTTGACAACAATAAAAGAAGTCTCTTTTTTTCTGATGATGATGATTTCCCTATATCCCCCTCTCTCTCTCTCTCTGATTAATCTGTATCATATTTCATCTCTCTCTCTCTCTCTGATTAATCTGTATCATATTTCTAATAAATTGAAAATTAACATTTTTTCTCCGTCTCTCTTTTTTGCGATGCAGCCAAGAAGTGCAATTGTAAAAAGGAAGTCCGGTCGGACACTTATCAACCAGCATACCAACCAACAAATATCACCGGTGACTCCGAAGAAGATAAATCCGGTAAGAATTATTTCCGATAAATTTAACCATTCTGTTACCAAGGATAATTTTTAACACTGTAATTCTTGTAGCGAAATATTTCGTAAAAAGGGGAAAAATAGAAAAATAAGAAATCTTCTTTTCATATTTTAAACGATTTTATTTTTATTTTAAATTCGTAATTTCCTGTGCTTAACCGATAGCAATATATAAAAAAAACGAACTCCAGATTACGAATTTCAAAACCATTTTATTTATTTTTTTATTTTTTACATTTTTACATGGTTTTAGCATCTTTTCTTTTACAATAAGTTTACATGCAAAAAAAAAAAAAAAAATGAAAGTCCCCATCAACTATCAAAAAATCTAATTTCTTTTACGGTATTTGAGATCTGGAGTATTTAATCTACGCTCATATGAGAAAAAAAAAACGGAAAAAAAGATTATTACTGGTCGCTAAGATTACTGTATAGTGTGTTTGCTTCTCTATCAGTTCCCAACTAGGTATTTATACAGATGACACAGCTATTTACTCCTGTCTTAGTAGCAAGTCCGACAGATCCGATAAAATAAGCCTGGCATCTGTTCTCGAACGTGACTTCCAATCAGTGGTTAATTAAAACACGAAATGGCTTATAAATTTTTAACGTTTCTAAAACAAAACTGCTTTCATTTGATCACCACAGTGAAATTTTGCTACCTGCCATTAGCATGTTTGATGTTAAACTCCAAGAGATCAGTACTCTACATCTCCTTAGACTAACGTTTTCCACTGACATGAAACGGCGCGTCTGTGTTGAATCAATAGCTGCATCTACTGCTAGGAAAGTTGGTTCATTGTATCGGGCCAGAAAGTTTTTTCTCGTCAAAATCCATCTTGTACATTTATAAATCTACCATTCGTCCGGGTAGTGAATACCGCTGTCATATCTGGTCTGGTGTTCCTGCTGTATATCTCGAGAAGGGTCTCTAATGTAATTGATCCGGACCTGACATCTCGAATTTAATCACTTTCTCACCCACGTGACGTGGCTTCTTTCTGTCTTTTCTACAAATATTTTCATGGAAACCGTTCTGATGAGTTTTTCCCTAGTGCCTCAACTACATTAATTTAAGCGTATTACTAGAGTGGCAATTAGGTTTCACCATTTTTCTGTTGAAGTAGCTAGATGGGACCGCTACTTCTATTCTAATAGTTTCTTTTCTCACATTTCTCATCTGTAGAACTTCCTTCATATTTCTTGCTTCCCTGCCAATTACAATCTTCAAAAATGTGAAGGCAACGTCAGTCGCCATCTTCTGTGTTTCAGAACCCTGTTCATTTATTGTTCTTACCTAACATCTCCTCACTAAAGTTTTATCATTCTCTTTCACTTCTTGTAATGCCTTGCATCTTAGTGGCATTATCGCCTTGCCTAGGGTGAAATGATAAAGCGAAAAGGTAGAAGAGAAACCTTGTTCTAGGGATTTAACTCCTCTGGCAACATCTTCATTATTGCAGTAAATAGCTACAGTTGATTGGCGCGGACGCCAACGCGACTATGGTCGCAGAGACTGGGCAAATTTTATCTATGGCTTATATGGGCACCCCATGTTAAGTCAGACATGTTCCAACTCTATGTAAGTGTAGGTACATATCACCACGTGATCGTTACCAGGGACTTCTTACTAGAATTGTCTGCAGTAAAGGACAAGAGATACTGTGGCTCAGATTACATTTGCATTCAATGAAGGGGGGGATCAGACGCATTATCCATGATACTTAGCACTTATAGCATATGTATATCAAACGGAAAATGATATAATCAATGTGTTCACTTTCCACACTGCCTTTAACAAAAAGCTAGGGAGGAAATTCCCATAATTGCTAGAAATATCGATAACAGTAGACTTGAGAAACCTATTCATCGGAAAAACTGTTTCAGCAGCTCTTTAAAAATTCCAACCGACGGGAATGGTGTTTCAATCAATAAATGATGACTGTTTCCATATAAGGAAACGGCTAATCTGACCATTACCATTACTTTTGGCACGTCAGTGTAGATCTGCGTAACGAGTTTACTCAACACTGTACTATATCAGAGCCCCCCACACACACACACACACATATATATATATATATATATATATATATATGAAGAAATATAGTTTTAAGGTGTGCTATATTTATGGGATAATGTGCTCAATATCAGAGATAGAGTGTATGTAAATATAAATATAAAGGTGAACACTCAGAGGTGACAGGCTTTTCATGCTGTACACACACAACACACACACACACACATACACACACACACACACACACACATATATATATATATATATGTCTGACTTAATGAATGTATGATATTTATCTATAAGGGTTTGTTCATATCTATTCATATTTCTGGGATCTAATCCATTGATGTTCAATATCAGACCTTATTGTTGCTCTATATTAGTAAAAATTGGCTACTGCACAAATAATCGTGGTTTTATTCTAAGGATACACTAGAAATTCTGAGGTGACTTTTTAATAAATGAGTTTATTTCTATCCCTATAAAACGAATTTATTTTATTTACGTTTTTTCTCTATTTCTCCATTTGATGTTTAAAACAACTGTTCAGTCATCAATGACCCCTAAATGATACGGGGTGGTAGCAGTGGTTAGGGCCCCAGCTATGGGCAAACAGTTAATCCCTAAACTGGGGTCAAAACACTATGAAAGTATGAAAATAGATTTTTATAGTAAATTGCCAGTAATACATTTTGAAAAAACATATTACTAGCAGTAAATTTTAGGAAAAAAAATATTACCAGTAATATATTTTAGAAAAAAAAAGGTATTTCCAATAATACATTTGACTCTCGACAAAAACCCTCTTTACAAAAATACGTTAATGAAATATGATCTACAAACTGATTTCTTACAAAGAATACATATTCTATTCATACGAACCTATCCAAAATGTCTTGTCGGCGTTAAACAACTCAATGGGGTTGATATACCTTAAAAAAACCAAGGCTAGAATTATCGAGTTTATATGTACGAATCTATCATTAATACCTGTTTTTTACTTTATAAACCTGTAATTAATACTGTTATATATATATATATATATATATATATATATATATATAATATATATATATATATATATATATATATATTTTATAAAGATATAATGTAGTATTTATTTTTATAATTAATACCGTATTTTACGGTGGCCATTAATACATTAATTATTTTATCAATTTCTGATCATTTTTTCTAAAACTTTACAACATATGGTATAAATGATATTGGCTATCCTACTCCCAGCTAGAAACACATCCAAATCATTGTTCCTAACTCAAAATAATGTCAATTGTCGCTCACTTTCTTTGTTACTATGACACTGCACTCGTCGTATCGACCATTTTGTATTATTTCAGAGATTTATCTCCAAATGGTGTTGGAAAAAGGAACATGCAAAATGAAGTAAAGTTACACAACTCTGGTAAAGTAGCATGTGACCATCACTACCCATCTGTCTAGGGAGAGAAAGCCAGCTGTTTTCTTGGGGAACAGATGTTATATTTTGTACTTATTTGTCCGATTTTTCTTTTCCGGGGACATGCAAGGGCCTCATGTAACAAAAGAGTAAAAAAATAACAAACGAAAAAGGAGTAATGTATTTAGGAAAGTGGCTTTCACGGCAAACTAATCCGCCCAAGAAAGTGGATATAGACAAAAAGAAATGTGGGCGGGTGTTTGTAAAGACATGACAAATTGGCTTCAGATGCTGCGCTCGTCGTCTTCTTAGCTTAACTTGGGTAGGGTCCACAGGAAACAACCCTGGCATACTGTGATCGAAAACAAAATCATGTGCCTCACGCTTTTCACGCATAGAAAACTTTCTACTTTAATCAATCTTTCGCCGAATTTCATAGGATTTAATCTTTTGTTTCTATCGACCCAATCTCCATTTTAAGTTGATGTTTGAAGTAAAATAAAATCATTACGAGAAAAGGATTCATTTCTTCTGAATTTTCTTCAGACCTGTGCTCCCTACCATCTTTCGAGTCACGTGAGAAACGTCAGTTATTGTAACCCCTCCGCCTGTACCATGAATAGACACATTCTCGCAGACATACGCAATATCCAATTGCAGAAATTGATCAAACATGATGTGAGACGTTAACACGCCAAAATAATACGAAAATAAGGCGGGATATTGTTACAACATCGGTTGGAACCTTGATAAAATATCGACCGGAATATTGCTAAAACATATTTTTGGTTTATAAAGAAGTACAATTCAGTCTTTATTCTTTAATTTTCTCCACTGCAGCAAATATTGTTTACATTATTTACAATCGGATTTATGTCTCCATCTTTGTTGTTACTATCATAACGTTTGTAATCTCCTGGTTTCTTCCGGTGTCTGTCAATTCAAATAACCTTCAGAGAATTTCGAACAGAACCCATTATTTAATCTACATGTGCAGATTGTTTTAGTTTTTAGGCACATAGATATATCTTTATTATCTTATTTAGCTCAGTTACGAGAGCGAAACCTGGACAGCGGGACCACTCATTCCACAGTACCAAACAACTATTCATATTTGATTAGATATAGTTTTACGATCAATAACACGAGTTCTGTATCTCCTTGGGGTAATAGGGGGACCACATATACTGTATTCGTGACAGAATTTGTGTGTCTTGAGCAACATAGCCCGACGGAGCCCAGTTCTCTCCAGGCTGGTTTGAAATCGATGTTTTCCTTCTCATAGATAGGATGTCAACCAAGAATATAGTACCCAGTCTTCCCGTCTATTTATACGGATCTGGATGGAAATGAACAGAAATGGATCCATACCATTCCCAAGTGTACTTGCGCGTAAGTGAATATAACAAACTCGACTGGTATTCGAACTCGGCTCTCCGAGTTCTCATTCCGAGCGGCTATTATTTCACCAGTGCACATCCAGATATAGATTCTATAATAAAAAATTATTATAGTAAAGCTTCTTTTATGTGCTGGGTTCCTTCAGGGCGAGAAGGATCTCATACTTAATAGTAAAGATGTGGCGTCTATAGTTCTTATTGCAGTTGTGATCCTTTATTTCTCAGTAGAGATGTGACTCTCAATACATTTCAGTAGAGATGTGAACCCCCTTATTTTTCAGTAGAGATGTGACCCCCTTACTTTTCAGTAGAGATGTGACCCCCCTTACTTTTCAGTAGACCCCTCTTACTTTTGTGATGTGACTCTCAATACATTTTACCCCCCTTACTTTTCAGTAGAGATGTGACCCCTCTTACTTTTCAGTAGAGATGTGACCTCCATACTTTCAGTAGAGATGTGAAATCATACTTCACAATAGAGATATGGTTTTCATACTTCCCCGTGGAGATGTGGTCCTATACTTCACTCTAGAGCTGTTATCCTATAATTCTCAGTAGGGATATGACCCCTATACTTTTCACTAGAGTTATGTTCCCAATACTACGCAGAGGAGCTGTGAACCCATATTTCTCAGTGGAGATGTGACCCTATTATTTCCCACTGGAGATGTGGCCCTCATATTTCTCAGTAGAGATGTGGCCCTCATATTTCTCGGTGGAGATGTGGCCCTCATATTTATCAGTGGAGATGTAACCCTATTATTTCTCACTGGAGATGTGGCCCTCATATTTCTCAGTGGAGATGTGGCCCTCAAATTTCTCAGTGGAGATGTGGCCCTCATATTTCTCAGTAGAGATGTGGCCATCATATTTCTCGGTGGAGATGTGGCCCTTATATTTATCAGTGGAGATGTAACCCTATTATTTCCCACTGGAGATGTGGCCCTCATATTTCTCAGTAGAGATGTGGCCCTCATATTTCTCGGTGGAGATGTGGCCCTTATATTTATCAGTGGAGATGTAACCCTATTATTTCTCACTGGAGATGTGGCCCTTATATTTCTCAGTGGAGATGTGACCCTATTATTTCTCAGTGGAGATGTGGCCCTCATATTTCTCAGTGGAGATGTAGCCCTCATATTTCTCAGAAGAGATGTGGCCCTCATATTTCTCAGTGGAGATGTGGCCCACATATTTCTCAGTAGAGATGTGGCGCTCGCATATCTCAGAAGATATGTGGCCTTCATAATTTTCGGTGGAAATGTGACTCCCGTACTTCTCAGTGGAGCTGTGATCCCATATTTCTCAGTAGAGATGAAGCCCCAACAACTTCTCATTAAAGATGTGATACCCCCCACCATACTTCTCACTAGATTCAACGGGTGTTTAATGAGTAAGTGGGTACAATTGAGCAGGTTTCTTTTCTTCACAAAAAAAGTGACCCGCATACTTCTCAGTGGAGCTGTGTTCCCCTCAGTTGAGCCATGACTCCATACTCTTCAAAGGAGTCTACAAGACTTTAGTGAGTGAGTGAGTGAGTGAGCCCATTTGAAAATACTTCTTTCCTTTGCAAAAAATATGACATTATGAGGCGTAACACAATTTCAAAACCTCAAACCGGAACATTTAGCTTCTTGTATAATAAATTATTTTTATGATTCAGAACATCTTAAGCTTCAGGGCTGATATAAAATTAAACGAATATTGCTAGATTATATCTTGAGCGCGACACTGGGACAGACATCTCAAGCCTTGACAATTCCGATTGGACCACGCCTTGTTGTAAGCCTTTATATTATTTAAGTATTTTGTATAGTAATTCCACGAGCAAGACATGATGATATGATAGCAGTTTTTAATTCTATTCTTAATAATATATAGACAGATATTGAGAATCTCTTGATTAAATCAGAACTTGCCATCTTTATCTGATAGAACAACAAAATAAGCAACAATTGCATTCATTGTTTAAAAATAAAGTAAAATAAAAGCCACATGTTTTAATACTAGATTTTTTTACAATCCGCTATTGAATATATCGCTAACATTTTTGTCAAGATTTACAAACTCTACGTTTCGTTCAAATTTGAATAGGCTGATTTGTTTGGAAAAATACTTTGACAAAATCCCTACTTCGTGGTTTAATAATTTCTTTAATTTAATTTTATAGAACTTCATGGTAAACAATATTTTGTAAGATTTTTTTTCTTTTTCCTGTTTAACCGCGAAGAATAAATTCTTAGGATTTCTTACTTTTGAGCATGCAGCATAAAACTGGCCATCCGAAAATATTTCTTTGTGGAGCTAAATTCCAACTTTTTTTTCGAGCGTTTGGCCTGGTTATTTCTTTATAGTTCTCGCTAACGAAAAGTGAACTGGAAACTGGATTCTTGTATATATAAAAACTTAAAAAGATATGCAAAAACAATATTGAACTTTTATTAAAGATGTAATTTTTATTTTAATTATTAAATCGTTTTTAAAATAGTGGGAATATTTGTATGTTAAATTATAAAACTTTTCATTTTTCAAAAAAAATAAAATGAACATTTATTGTACTAAACTACACACCCTAGTAAAATCAACTGTACTTTGTACCTCCTTACCTGTTTGCACTCCCCAAAAAAAAAATTGGTTTCGATCAGTCAATGTATGGCCATTTTAGAAAGAAGGTCTGAAGGATGGATGGACAGACTAAAGGAAGTCACAGAATTTTATATATAGATAGAAGAGGACAGTTTCTAAATAATCGTTGCACACAAACTAAATCAGAGTTGGACAACATAATTCTAAAAAGGGAAAATTGAACAGTTCAATGCAAATTATTGTTATAGCAACGTTCTTCACATTGTATTAATGGGTTCATTAATGTTATAATCTTAGTTCTAAGTGATTATTTAAATCCACCTGGCTATGACAGTCATTTCTGTTTGGCTTGGATCAAATTTGCTATTTGTTATACATTTGAATGGCTCTTGTTTCACTTCTAAAATGTTCGCATTACTTTCCGAACAATTTAAACAAAGAGCACTGAAGTACATAAAAGAAAAAAATCGACACCTGCATTTTCTTTTTCTTTTGTTTATTTTGAACCTTTTGTTGATCATATTTTTGCCGCCTGTAAAAGGACGCTTTCGCAATTAATGGATGGCAAAGACCGCGCGTCAGGTATCATAGGCAACAGTGCTGTGACGTCATTTTCTACTGGACTCGATTTCCTCCTGGTGACTATCGAAACGAAAAACCGCGGGCTAAAATGAAACTCTTCTAGCGCGTTAGTAATTTGTCATCATCGCACTTAATAATGTAAACAAACTTGCAATATTTCTGGTAAGGTTTATAACTTCAATCTATGCACATTTTTGCCACTGCATTTCTATGCAAATATGTGTATAAGTTAGGACCGATATTACATATACATTCAGTACTCTTTTATTTGTTTCTAAAGAAATTTTCCTGTTTCTTAATACTTTTCTTAGCTTTTGGTATGTATATTTTGCTATTCAAAAATGCACCTTCGGATATCAGTGTCGTATTTTCCCGCCTTTCGTAAAACACATCCTAGAAACTTTTGTACTTGTTTGGTTTTCGTGTCTCTAATTCGCAGTTTTCATCTTGGACTGTTGATTTTACTGACAGCCATACGTCATGTCTTCTTAGAATATATGTTTAGAACTTTCTTCTCACTTTCATTTACTATCTTCTGTAAGAGTTCCTGTAGTTTTCTTTCTGTGTCTGCTACCAACACCATGTTATCTGCAAATCTTATATTGTTAATCTTGCGACCGCGAATAATGAATCCTGCTAGGACTTTTAATTCTCTTATAATCGCCTTACTTTAGAGATTGACTAAGTAGGGTGAGAGGTCATATCCTTCTTTTACGCTCCTTTCTATTTTTGCTTATTTACTGAATTCATTTTCTATTTGGACACATTAAAAGATCTAGAGCAGGGTTCACTAAATTGTGTCGGGAAATTATAATGCTTGGAAAAAGAAGTAGAGCAAAACCAAAATATAGGTGGAAGGATAACATTGAGTGACGACAGTCTGTTTCATGTTTGAACGCAATTTTCATGGCCCGTAGATTGCATTCAAGCGAGAAAGAGACTGTCGCAACTTGGTGTTTACCTCATGCGTCCACACACACACATATATATATATATATATATATATATATATATATATATATATATATATATATATAAAGGGTGTTTCATCAAGCCGGATTATATATAATATATAAGGGTGTTTCATTAAGACGGATCAAAGTGAGCAGTAAATAGATCAGTGTTATTGGTTAAAATTTATTTATTTCTCTATTGGATCATGTTATTTAAGTCATAGCGATTATGCGTGAAAAATAATATCGCCCAAATATACGCCAAATCTGAAAGAAAAAGAAAAAATATCATTAGACGCTTAAACCTAATTCACATTAAAATCGATCCAAGTTATTGGAACACCTTTTACCTAAGTTTGCTCAAGGTTGTAATAAATGGCAGGAATGGAGTTATGTTAGTTTGCAATCTGTTGCAGGCGGAAACAACGATTAATAATGATGCTATTATCATCAGTATCATGGCTATTGTATTAATGATACGTAGTTACAAAATGGCGAAGGTATCTATTAAATAGAAATGTTTTGTTCCTTACAATGACTTATAGGATTCTTTTCTATCACCTGTTATGAAAGACTTCACAAGTGAAACTACATTACTTCGCTATGTCGTCGGCTTTATCTCGTATGCAAGTATTTCATTTCTTCTTTGTTGATCTCTTCCTTTATGATGATGGCTTTGATGACTAAATTCGAAACCAACATGCAGATTCAGGGCTAGAAGCTTCCAATTTCAGCAAAACCTGCCCCGTCATTCACTCCCAATCGCCGTTTGACTTTGCAAGATTTATTTGGAGATGAAAGAAAATCAGATTAGAAGTAAAGACCGATTGCGTGATTTGTTTAAGGTGAAACCCAACTTTGCCAAGATGTGACCCACACATTTCATTTCTTGACCTTCCTCTGCCGTATATATGGGATGAGATATGCAGAATGCAGTTATGAAACTGCAACGTACTACCGCTGACTCTGTTAAAATTTCGAGTAGCGCCTTCTGTAACATGTCCGTCATGCGTAGCCCTCTTCATCCACTAGTTAAACCCTTGAGACCAGTTGCAATCCGCTTGTCCCACTGTTGGTGTTTTGGGGGATATGTAAGGGAGTATATATATATAATACCGTTGTTTTATTTTTTTGTGCAAATTTTGCTACCGATGCGAGATATTTCTTGCCCGAAGCCAACCTTTATAATCCCCTCATAAAAGCCTGAACTCACTAGTTACAAAAGCTATGGCTTGCGAAGTAACCTTGTACAATCTCAGTTCGTATATAGTGTTCTCCGGCAGCAGATTCTATGCATTTCGGAATCTTAATTTAGTCTAGCTCAGAGACACAACAGTGAGTTGCTTTGTCAGGAGCCAATTTTATACACTAGCGAAATATCTTTCGAACCAAGTTCGCTAACCTTCGCTCTATGCTGAGCATCATCATTACCTAAAACTAGCAAAAGGTCCCAATGTGTTTATTTTCCGTCGATATATAATTACATCTGATATTCTGTCGGGAGCTGATTTGATGAATCGAGATGTGAGTACTGTTTTTGATCAGACAAAGTCCGACTCAACGGCCAATGTCAAACAGATAATCTGATAGGCGACACCGATTTGTTTTCCGACCAAAACTACCGAACGTCGTTTATAAGTGAAGGTAATTAATAATAAAGTCGGAAGTAATGACACTTACTTTTGCCCCTGGTCAGCCCCAGACAAAATATGGACATGTGTAATGTATGATCGAAGTCCGACTAACATTCTTCGGGGATTGTTACTATTTAGATAAATTAGCAGCTGTTTTATTATGAAAATATTCAAAGTGTTTGTATGTGAACACACATACAGATATTTATATATGTCTTCCCAACCGTACAATTATATAAAGATCTATGCTTGAAATACTGACTTTAAACTTACGGTAGCTCACACACACACACACACACACACACACACACACACACACACACACACACACACACATATATATATATATATATATATATATATATATATAGAGAGAGAGAGAGAGAGAGAAATAGTGATATTAACAGACTGGCATAGATAGATTGTTGGAACATACAAATCAACAGTGCATGGAGACTGTCAGATTTACGCCTCAACTTACAATTACTATGCAGTGTAGATTCCTAGGACCACACTTTCTATACCGTTAAACAGTCTAGCTCCGATGTTGATCATTATTCGTGACGTATAATAGATTTTGTCCAATATATATATATATATATATATATATATATATATACATGAAGAAATATAGTCTTAAGGTATGCTATATTTATGGGATAAAGTGATCAATATCAGAGATAGAGCGTGTGTAAATATAAAAGTGAACATTGTAGACAACACTTAGAGGCGACATTCTGTTTCATGCTACACTGAAACAGTATGAAACTGACTAAGTGTTGACTTCAATGTTCACTTTTATATTTATATAAGATATATATATATGTATTTATATATACAATTTGCTTGCTTATTTAGACTATATCAATTAAGATATATCTAAGGTATGTAATTTAAATTAAAGAATAAAATCTAGAAGACTTTTGAAGCATTGAATTCATTCGACCTGAAAGCCATTTTGGTTCAGACTCTCCTGACAACGAGGAACAGTGGGGAATTGCAAACATGCCGAATCCCTTTATGCGGTATTTAAGCGTATTCTCTTTTAATGGCCGCTTTCATTTAATTGATTCTTGTTATTTTGCGATTTTAAATGGTTGTTTCACGAGTAGCTTCCCGAACAGATTTAGCAAGTTTCAGCTGGTCTTGGAAACATCTAGAACAGTAACTTCTGTTTCAATATATGATCCAGTAAATGAGAAATTGTCCCAGTGTATCTGTTTGAAACTCTCTTCTAAACTGTTTTTGCAATTAAACTTTGTTTCTTAGACCGCCATTATTTTACATCAATCAGTTGCCCCTGAAATATAAATAGGCATATATTCAGTGAGTCAGGTTTTGTAAAAGAGTGTATACATTGGTGGGGAGTACACACCACACTCTCCCGCTTTTACTCTATCTATCTATCTATCTATCTATCTATCTATCTATCTATCTATCTATCTATGTCTCAGTCTCTATCGATTTCTCCGCCTCTCTCTGTCTCCACCCCTCTCTCTGTCTATTTCACTGTCTCTTTCTCTTTCTATCTATCTATTTCTCTCTCTCACTCTCTCTCTCTATATGTCTGTTTCTCTGTCTCTCTGTATATATCTATTTTTGTTTCTTTCTCTATTTATCTATCTTTCTATTTCTCTCTCACTACATACACACACATATATCGAGCATCGAGCATTTGCATAGCAGTTGATCTGTTGCTGAACGGTATGGCATTTGTATTCAGTTTCAACTTATTTAGAATTCTACACACATACAAAAACACAAATATACAAAATATATATATATATATATATATATATATATATATATATATATATATATATATGAATATAGATAGATAGATAGAGATAGAATAGATAGATAGATAGATAGATAGATTCCGTTTAGGCTGAAATTTTGAGATCATACTGGTCCTAACTGCAATTCACAATCACTCTGAATTCGTTTAAAGAGTCTATTTTTTTATGTCCATACACTATCCTGTTTAAAAAAATTGCTTTTCCGTGTCAAAGAAGAATAAGACAAATGACTAAACACTTACTGGTGCTCGTTTTCAGTAATTTTATTAGGAACACGTTTTGCTGCTCTCTTATTTTTTCTAATGCTTTTACACGATATACCACAGCTGACTGGCTGTAGAATTAATGAACAACTGATTCTATTTCAATGTTACTTCTAAGATTTCTCTAACATTTAACAAAATATCACACTGGAAATGTTTGCATCATGTCAGTGTAGAGGAGTTCATTTTTTTCAGTTTTTTATTATTATGCGCTTGTTCAAAATCAGTTTTCTGCTATGTATTCATGTTCTACTGTAAAAAAAAGTCCTTGCTCGGGACATTTTAATAGACTTCTGAGGGACTTTATCAAGGCGAATGAGTGGATTTTATATAAATATTTATATACAAGAGCAAGAAATGTATTTATATTTTTTTTAATTTGGGTATTGGAATATTCATGAATAATCATACGGTTAGCTGAAAAGACAGGAAAGGTCATGAACGTGAGGTCATACCAAAAACGTTTGAAAAAATAACATTCTTGATCATGTATAAAGACGTGTCACAAAATAAAATTCTTACATTTGCTTTGATAAAATCCCTCACGGGACGAAACACGTCAGCTAAAATAAGTTTTCTTTTTGTTTTTATTTATATTGTCTTTTTACAGACATACTCTGTCTGAAATTTTTGCACACACACACACACACACACACACACACACACACATATATATATATATATATATATATATATATAGATAGATAGATAGATAGATAGATAGATTTAAACAAAACGGACGTCATGTTATACCTTAGGTACCTTTCGACCAACAGCTTTTCAAAGGTATACGTTGGCAAATTGGAAAACAATCAAAGACACACTCAATATAACAAATGAGGAGGGAAAGTTGGAACGCGATTAAAAAAAAATAGATAAATTTTAATTACAAACAATTAAAATTTAAAAGGGGGTGAAAATAGCAAGTTCCACAAGAGTATAAAAGGGGAAAAAAGACACTCACAGCCACCTCCCCCCAAGAAGCGTAAGGAACGTACAAAATTCTCCTTCTGTCTACACAGGCGAGGCTGATGAAATTTTATAAATACAGCCTCCAGGACTCGGAGATGGTATACTGAGCGAGCAATGTGTAATACTGAGAACCAAGTGTCTTCGTCATCGGTGGCACAAACATGTCTGTCGAGCAAATGCTGTCCAATGGCCAAATCATGGACTGCCTGAGTAGTTCTTTTTAGATTGGCTCCGACTATTTGAACGCAGATAGGCGGGAACATGCTGCGCAACGCGCGTCTCCAACCTCAGATTGGTTCGTCCTATGTACACCGCATCACATCGGCATTTAAACTTGTAAACAATTTTTTTATTTCTGTGGGTACCCACAGAAATAAAAAAATTCACTTTTGAATATATATATATAAATTCACTTTTTGAATATATATATATATATATATATTATATCACCCAATACAATACCTCAAGAGCCACTCAAATAAGAGGGTTGCTGAATGGATTTGTTGGAATTACATACGTGGAGGAACTGAAGAGTGCACATTATGAAAATATGTAGGATAGATAAAGGTTGAACCAAGACTTGAAGTGTTTAAAATTGTAGTGATCGGGAAGCATCTTCACGGGAGCCGTCCCACAACATAAAAGTTCTAATACATTTTAACGCTTAACAGATTTCTAAATAAATAGAATGTATACTTAAGAAATTGTTTTTTATACAATTTTATTGATGCTGACCTGTATTTAATACAAAACCCTTCAACAAAAATATTTTACACTGTTTACATTTTTCGGTCTATTGTCCTCATTTTTATTATCATATTCACGACCTTTCAGCTGTTGTACGCTCTGACCTTCTTCAGGTGGTATACGTTCAAATTTCCAACCGAACCCTTTATTTCGTCCACCGAGGTAGATTGTTCTACTTCCACGTGCCATGCCTTTTCTGTGCATATCAGTTTCAGTTATTTCCCTTTAGTAACTCAGCTGTCCCAGTTTTTTAACCTCTGTTGTGGCCGGGTATTGAACTCACAGCAATTTGGGTCAAGTCACTGGATTCTTTCAACCAACGCTTTTATCCATTGGGCCACGTGTCCTTGTAAACAGTGCAAATATCTCATCTCAGAAATATAGACAAAAATATTTTATTTCGCCCAGCACAGCATTCATATGGATGCCAAACTCCTTCAAAGACAATTAAACTGTATCAGTGATTAAATATGACTTTGAGCGATTGAAGCCTGTGGGTCTTAGCGAGGATCAGCCTTCTTCAAACCTTGTGGACTGGCGCTACTAATCACAAAGAACCGTTTCAAATGATAGAAACCGCTTCACTTGAGGACTTTCAAAGCCCGCAACAGCTCAACTGGATAGCACATATAGCTCGAACATAATCAAGATATATTCCACATAACTCCGAACAAAAGGTTAGGAAGGAAACTTCAATCTGTATTGGAAAGAGCGATAACAGTTACTGAACTTGAGAAACCTATTTTCCTGAAAAATCGTTTTCATGGAGAGATTTTATAAATTCCAACCGAAGGTAGCATTGGTTGATTGCCGAATGTTTCCTTATAGGGAAACGGGTAATATTACCATTATATCTTTTCTTCTTTCTTTTTATTAAAAAAAAAGGAATGCATGAACATTATATATCGTATATGCTTGGGTCTTATTTTTCGATTTCAGTATTGGCTTATATATTTTCTCCAGTGTTGCGACATTAAAACGATATTCTTGGTTACAACGTTAGTATTGAACTGACAATGATGATATTGATTTCTTATTGAGTCAACGATGTTTTTTTTGCACCTCGTTTCCGCCCCTCTCCGTCTTCTTTTTTAAAAAAAACAAAATCGTTCGTGTTTCTAAGAGCGTTACAAGCCAAATAACTGAGAAAACATAGCAACTATCTATGAAGTGGTTGATGATGACGTATTGACACCACATATGAAAAATTAACATTTTTGTCATTATCAGCTATCACTAACAAAACCTACAGAACAAACTGAATTATCATCACTATTAATAATAATAACAACAACTTGCTTATATCTTTCATGATCGTAGCCCGGGCCCTAGTGAAACTAACCTTATACCTAAAATAAGTGGAGACCTTGGTAACATCCAAGAAAGTTACACAAGTGCACTTTAAAAAGATCCCTGATAGCCCTTGCGTACAAGTGATTACAAAAATACTCTACTGTGTGGAACTGCTCATCTATTCAGGAGACTATTATCAATGTAAAGAAAAATATAAACATTGTACATGTCAAGTAACACTTAACATCAAAATTTGTACAAGCAGAATGTCGTCCTGGGTATGACGATAAACTACATCCGGTAGCGAGACATCTTATCGGGAGATTGGACGTTCTGAGGATCGTAGAACCACCTCTTAACTGCAATTGTCCCCAGGTCCATCCTGATCTGGGTGGTAGCACCTGTTAGTGTCCCAGCTATGGTCAGACAGTGGTCTTCACCCTCAAACAAAAATCAGCACTATATTTTTATAAAAAAATATCAGAAATACATTTTTGTAATCAAATAACCATCAATACTTAAAAAAAGAAAAACTTACCAACAATACGTTTTATCTACAAATTACATATCTAAAAATATATACGTTTATATTGACAATTTAAAATGATGTAAAAGATATCTGTAGTTGAAGGCATAAAATTTAGTTCGAAATATTTAGATTTCGGCATTATATCACCGATATGCCACTAAACAAAATCAGTCGATCAACCAAACAATAAACAGAATGTATATGTTTATTATCTTCCTTTGGCGTAAGTCTTACGTAATGATACGGTAATGTCATCAGAAAGCAAATAATAACGATAATTATATCAGCAGTTGCTTATTGCTACACCAGACATGATTCTTAGATTTTGATCGTAACTGATTGCGACTGTTAAACACTTACAGGTTATATCTTGGTGAATTAACACCGATTACATTAAATATTCCATTAAGTACCACAGATTTGCATTTTGCTTCCCGAAACTTAAGAAAGATGGGCATGTCCCTTAGAGGCTGAAACATTTTTCATGAGTGGGATTAGTGCGAGGAGTGGGGTCGGCCGGGTGTAGAGAGTGTTTTTTTTTTTTTTTACGTTTGAAGGATGAAACAGGCAAGGCGACTTGAGAGTCACATTCTAAATTCCCAGCGAGATGTAGTGTTGCGCCTTTTTGGGTGATTGCTGCGTCTGGATGAAGAAAAGGTGGTATGGTCGGAAAGTGACCCTGATGTCGAAAAACACCGGACGACCAAAAAGAGTTGAAGAAACCATTTTGCTTTATTTATAAACTTCAACACTGAGCCAGAAGGGCAAATAATAGGCTTTGGGAAAATGAGGAAAGGGAAGAGAGTCATTCATTACTTATGGAACTTGAACTCCTCCATACGGCTGGCCTAATTAGGAAAATCCTGACTCACAGCTCCCAGCCCACACTCGTCCAATATCTAAATATTTTTCGTTCAGGATATGACGATAAACTACATCTCACTTCCTCGGTAAGACGATAA